AGCCACGGCTCTGGTTACCTTCACTAATGTGCGAAGAAAGAGTAGGATCCTCATCTAATAGAGTTTGAGTAAGTCAATTTTCTACACAATAGAAGTTTAAAGATACTAAAAGACCAATAGAGAGGAAATTTTACTTTATTGTTAACGAAATAAGATAAAGATATCTAGCACATAAGAACTGTGGATTTTAGGGACAATGATAAGGGATTTTTCTATGAAAAATGAAAGAGTAGTTTTAAAGGTAGAAGCTGGAGTTGAAAGGCCCCAAAGGGTAAGGAGTAAGTGCTTTTCCGCCCTATATTTTTTCAAAGCAGTTGATGTCTAGGACAAATGGCATACATCGTTGGAAGTAATAGTTATCATGATTTAGAATTAAACTACAGAAGCATGTATGTCAAATAGCCTTGAATAGGAAAAACAAGAGAATATAGAGATTATCGCGTTATGGCGGAACTTAAAGTTGCGCAGTTGCCAGCTGGATTCTCCATACGATTGTAAGTGAAATGATATATGGATGTTGGGGATTTTGTTAAGTGGGAGCCGAGATAAGCCACCAGAGCCAAATGCCCCTCTCCACGCAACCAAGCGTTTTCCACAGGGCATTTGGCTCTGATGCCTTTTCTCCATTCTTAGCAGATTAATGTAGGCAAATCGTATATCATTATGAAGGTCTCAAAACGTACATTTGAATGACAATTGCGCAACATTCAGTTTTTTGGTCTGAGTGAATGAAATAAGAAAAACTACGATTTTTGTTTTACTCGATTTCTAGGTCAGTTCGCTAGGAAATCTTACCCATAATACAGCTGACAACTGCGCATTTCAAATTTTTATATCCAGCGAACTATTTCAAAGGACGCACCGAAAAGCCCGTATTTCCTTTTATGACTTTCTGAAGATCTATTGCGACTAGACTATCATAATTTAACATTATTCCGTTCGCAACAGCCCCGTAGAATGTAGACAACTGTGCAAATTCCAGAAATCATGAATAAGAGAAAAATTCAAGGAAACATGCGAAAACGGTTTTTTTTGGGAGTCGTTTTTTTAAAGAATATAAAAGAGATGCTACTTTCGGTCTCATTCTCAGTGTTTGTTTGAAGCTTAAGATCACTACCATATATCTCACACGACCACTCTCGTAATCCTATGAATTCCTATCTTCTTCTCCGCATTTCCCTCGTTTTCCGCTCTTGGTTGGTCCCAAAGAAAAGAATTTATGCAATTAACGCGCGGAAGTTCAAAAATAAGTGACTTCTAGAATATAAGAGTGGCCTCATATACGTAGAAACATTTTGAACAATGTCAATATCGCTCACAATTGCACTTTATGTAAAAAGGCGACTCTAGCTCCTCAATTTGTTGGAGTTATATACGAAAGGGAAAGGAAACGAAGAAAATGAATAGAGGATTTCTGAAAGAAGTGTTTGCAATTTTCCGTTTATTATACTACTTTTGGGAAAAAAGCAGTGTTTCCACTGACTGTTGTCTAAATCAAGAAAATTTCCTTATTTCTTCTTCAGCTACCATAGTATGTCAAAAACCACCATCTTTTGCAAGGCTCCTTAGTTAAAATCACTATCAATTTTGTTGTCTTCTGGAATATCGAACCTATATTAACGATCCTTTATGGATTTCTGATAGAATATGTTTAATTCATCTTATCCTCAGGAGATCCAACGAATGGCCAATCTTCTGCCAATGAACCTGCCCCATGAACTAATACGTGATGTTCATATAGGAGAATGGCACATCCCAGCAAAAACTGGGGTTGTTGCTCAAATCAGTAACGTACTTTATGATGAAAAGGTAAGCAGACTTCAAATTGCTATAATTAGCAAGTTATTTCATATAATTTCTAGGTATTTCACAATCCATTTACTTTTGACCCTTCAAGATTTATCGACGATAATGGCAAGCTGAAAAAGGTGCGAGCCCCTTTGTTTTAACTCATATATCGACACTTGATTAAATTATAGATAATGAAATATTTGATTTCAATTAGGTGGACGAGTTGATTCCTTTCTCCATTGGAAAAAGACAGTGTTTGGGTGAAGGTTTGGCAAGAATGGAGCTATTCCTATTCATAGCAAATCTATTTAATCGATTCGAGGTAAGACACTTTCAGGCGACGTCAGCAATTCCATAAACTTATCTTCTTTCACTTACAGCTCTCATGTGTGGACCCAGAAGCTCCGCCGAGTACAAAGAAAACCTTTGGTATGACCGTTCAG